AGTCTGAGTTAGTGGATATTGAATAGAAATAAAATTGTGAAACTTTTTTAATTTTTTGAGACACAATCTCACTATGTAGCGCTGACCACCCTTGAACTCAAGATTCTCAGGCCTCAGCCTCCCAAGTGCTTGGACTACAGGCATTTGCCACTACACCTAGCTGAAACTTTGAATTCTTGTCTTCTCCAATTTACTTGCTTCTGTTTATTTTTCAGACTCCTCAAATGAATTTTCTATGCATTTCCAAGGTTTATAACTACAATAAGGAGGAGAGTCAAGGTGGCATATGCTTACACCACCTTACTTGAAATGATAATCTAGAAAAATATAAATGTCAAATATCAGTACTAATTCCCAAAAGAGACCAAGAAGGCAGTGAGAACAGCCTGAGATATCCCAAAGTGTCAGTAGGAGTTAATGCAGCATTGCTGGAGGTAGAAGGTTCATCATCCAAGCTAACACATGTTGTCAGAATGAAAGAAAACACCATGACAAGTATACTTGAACAACAGGTGTAACCAGGAGCCTGAACATAGACCACCTTTATTTTTTTTTATTATTCATATGTGCATACAAGGCTTGGGTCATTTCTCCCCCCTGCCTCCACCCCCTCACTTACCACCCACTCCCCCCCCTCCCCTCCACCCCCTCAATACCCAGCAGAAACTATTTCTAATTTTGTTGTAGAGAGAGTATAAGCAATAATAGGAAGGAACAAGTGTTTTTGCTGGTTGAGATAAGGATAGCTAAACAGGGAATTGACTCACATTAATTTCCTGTGCGTGTGTGTTACCTTCTAGGTTAATTCTTTTTGATCTAACCTTTTCTCTAGTTCCTGGTCCCCTTCTCCTATTGGCCTCAGTTGCTTTTAAGGTATCTGCTTTAGTGTTAAGGGCAACAAATGCTAGCTAGTTTTTTAGGTGTCTTACCTATCCTCACCCCTCCCTTGTGTGCTAAAGCTTTTATCATGTGCTCAAAGTCCAATCCCATTGTTGTGTTTGCCCTTGATCTAATGTCCACATTTTTGGTCTTTTGGGCCAGGCTAACCTCACTCAGAATGATGTTCTCCAATTCCATCCATTTACCAGCGAATGATAACATTTCGTTCTTCTTCATGGCTGCATAAAATTCCATTGTGTATAGATACCACATTTTCTTAATCCATTCGTCAGTGGTGGGGCATCTTGGCTGTTTCCATAACTTGGCTATTGTGAATAGTGCCGCAATAAACATGGGTGTGCAGGTGCCTCTGGAGTAACCTGTGTCACAGTCTTTTGGGTATATCTCCAAGAGTGGTATTGCTGGATCAAATGGTAGATCAATGTTTAGCTTTTTAAGTAGCCTCCAAATTTTTTTCCAGAGTGATTGTACAAGTTTACATTCCCACCAACAGTGTAAGAGGGTTCCTTTTTTCCCCGCATCCTCGCCAACACCTGTTGTTCGTGGTGTTGTTAATGATGGCTATTCTAACAGGGGTGAGGTCGAATCTTAGTGTGGTTTTAGTTTGCATTTCCTTTATTGCTAGAGATGGTGAGCATTTTTTCATGTGTTTTCTGGTCATTTGAATTTCTTCTTTTGAGAAAGTTCTGTTTAGTTCACTTGCCCATTTCTTTATCGGTTCATTAGTTTTGGGAGAATTTAGTTTTTTAAGTTCCCTATATATTCTGGTTATCAGTCCTTTGTCTGATGTATAGTTGGCAAATATTTTCTCCCACTCTGTGGGTGTTCTCTTCAGTTTAGAGACCATTTCTTTTGATGCACAGAAGCTTTTTAGCTTTATGAGGTCCCATTTATCTATGCTATCTCTTAGTTGCTGTGCTGCTGGGGTTTCGTTGAGAAAGTTCTCACCTATACCTACTAACTCCAGAGTAGTTCCTACTCTTTCCTGTATCAACTTTAGAGTGTGGGGTCTGATATTAAGATCCTTGATCCATTTTGAGTTAATCTTGGTATAGGGTGATATATATGGATCTAGTTTCAGTTTTTTGCAGACTGCTAACCAGTTTTCCCAGCAGTTTTTGTTGAAGAGGCTGCTATTGCTCCGTCGTGTATTTTTAGCTCCTTTGTCAAAGATAAGTTGGTTATAGTTGTGTGGCTTCATATCTGGGTCCTCTATTCTGTTCCACTGGTCTTCATGTCTGTTTTTGTGCCAGTACCATGCTGTTTTTATTGTTATTGCTTTGTAATATAGTTTGAAGTCAGGTATTGTGATACCTCCTGCATTGTTCTTTTGACTGAGTATTGCCTTAGCTATTTGTGGCCTCTTGTGTTCCATATAAATTTAACAGTAGATTTTTCAATCTCTTTAATGAATGTCATTGGAATTTTGATGGGAATTGCATTAAACATGTAGATTACTTTTGGGAGTATAGACATTTTTACTATGTTGATTTTACCAATCCATGAGCATGGGAGATCTCTCCACTTTCTATAGTCTTCCTCAATCTCTTTCTTCAGAAGTGTATAGTTTTCCTTGTAGAGGTCTTTCACATCTTTTGTTAGGTTTACACCTAGGTATTTGATTTTGTTTGAGGCTATTGTAAATGGAAATGTTTTCATACATTCTTTTTCAGTTTGCTCATTGTTAGTGTATAGAAATGCTAATGATTTTTCTATGTTGATTTTATATACTGCTACCTTGCTATAGCTATTGATGATTAGACCACCTTATTTAAAAGGTGCAGTGGGAAAATAATAGTCTTTTCTAATAATAGTCTTTCCTGCTTAGTCCAATTTTTCAATTAGAATGTATACATAGAAAATTGGTTGTTCCCTTTGTTTTGGTTGATTTTCATGTAGGAAATATAAATAGTCTTTTTGTTTTAAATGCTAATTTGTCATCTAGACCTGGAAAGAATGTATTCTGTAAATACTAGGGCTAGACATTTCTCTTTTTGTATATGTAGTTGTCTGAGGCTCTTTCTGTAAAGCCAAAGACAGAACTCTAGGCCTCTTGAGAGCTTAGCTCCAGCAGCATCTCTCTTAGTGTAGATAAACCTGGATGTACTGGCCAAAGGAGGTTTCTAAGTCTGAAATCTCAGAGTGAGGCTGGCTGGAAAATGCTAGCCATCTCCAAACACAATGGCCCAATGACAGTGTGTATTCGTCCCGCTGACACCCCACAATGATCCTTCCCAAAAGAAACTTCCTCCAGCTTAATTTATAGCTCTTAGCTCCTCTTTAACTTTATTGCTGAAATTTTCAACAAGGATGTTGGGTGCCAAAGCCACAGTGGTTTTTATGATGTGGGTGCCTCTGCGAAGGAAGATCAGAGGAGCATTTCACACAGGCATCAAGTGGCCAATGACAATGACTTAGCCACTCTGCACTTGGATGGCATTCAGACCAGTGGATGTGACACATTACATGTGAATTAATCCAGTAGTTGCTTTACTTCATTGTCCAAATTATGAGTCATCCCATTCTACAGGGAGGATGGCATGCGAAAGTTTTACATCCACCTATGACTAGAACACTATTTTAACTTTTGTAAAGAAAATAAAAGCACCTATAAGAACCAAATTAGCCTTGTCAATCAGGAACAATGGCTTATCTCTTCAGCACATCACCTGCTATTTAGAAGGACTTAAATTGAGAACATGAAGTCAGGACACACACTGGGTTAATAACCTTAACAGGCAATGGCTCAAATCCAAGTTCTGTTCCAGTTCCATTCTTTCTTCTTTTTAACTGGTGTACACACTTAGGTCTCAGACTCTTTATATTTTTTCTTTCTTCCTTTCTTTTTTTAGGGGGGACAATTCTGGGCATGACTCAATCCTTTTGCTTTTAGTGTGTTTTTCAGATAAGGTCTTGAAATTTTGCCTGGGCTAACCTCAAACGGAGATCATCTTACCTCTGCCTCAGTCGCTGGGATTACAGGAGTGCATCACCTTGCCCTGCTCTTCCCAGAACTCTTAACTTGGCCACTGACTCTTGACACTCCCTTTCCAGTTTATACATACCTGCTAGTCCATTTCTTGTCTCCATATTGACCTGATCATTTTGACCCAGTTGGTCCCTACTTCCCAGGGCCCAGACTAAGCACTGCATTAATTCTACCAATGAGACAAGGAGGAACTGAAATTAGCCATACTGCTCCCCAAGCCTATATTCTGGTTCAGACTGTGTTGACCCAAAGTAACGGGCTCCTTCCTTCACAGTCAGGGTCCGAATTACGATGGTTTGACTTACAATTTTTTTTGACCTTATGATGTAGTGAAAGTGATCGTATTCAGTAAAAAGAATACTTTGGATTTTGAATTGGGTTGTTTTCTAGGCTAGCGTTATGTGATGTTGACCTTCTCTTAAGGTGGTGGGCAGTGTTAGTGAGCACAGCTCCCGATTAGACCCAGGATCACAAAGGAAACTGGTAAGTGTGCTAAATACTCTTTTAACTTAGGACATTTTCAACTTATCCTGACTTTCTCCTGATGCCACTCCATCACAAGTTGAGGAATACTTACAGTTTCCAGCAAGGAGGAATATAGACTGTAGTCTTGTCTACTCTGTGTCCCTTTTAACACTTACTTTCCGGGTGCCAGAGTCGATGGGTGCATGTGGAGTTAGAATATTCTTCTTTTCAGGAGAGCATTGGGAAAGCTTGATTCACACATGTTTAACAGAATAATATTTATTTGATTGCAAATATATACGAAATAAAATTTATATTGATTCGGTATGAATGATAGTCCATAGCCACAAAGCAGATGTAGCTATATCTGCTAATTCTGCTCATGTTACTTAGAAAATCCTGAGATGTATAAAGGTGTAGATAATCAACTTCCCCGTTAGTCCAAGAAATCAATGTGCTAAGCCACACCTCAGTGTCCGTCAGGCTTGCTCAGCATTGGCCAAAGGAAGACTCAATTTTCTGTCAGCTCGATCCATGCAGAGCCTTCTGCCCTGCAGCACCTCTCTTCCCAGGGGCTGGAGAGGAAGGAGCTCCTGGCTGGCTAGCCATTTCCTAAGCTGGGAGTTTTTCCTAGTGGTTTCTGTTTTTACCGAGTCTTCTCCAGGGGAAAAACCCTTCCGATAATTTTGAGTTGGTTCCACGTGAATTTTTTAGAGTTCTTCACAGGCATGTGGTAACACATTTGGGTCCAGAACCTGGAATTGGGACAAACTGATTTGAAGCCTCTCCAAGTGACTGTGGGCAAAACCCTGAGAGCTTTTTTTACAAGATAAGGTAGAGACTCTGGTTCCTGGAAAGAACAGAACTTAACTAAAATCAGTTTCAGTGTTTGGTCATCCAAGGCAAGATTCACTGCTGCTTGTAATTCAAAAACAGTGGGTCCATTGACATAGTTCGGACTCAGGATAAATATCCCTCTTCTACTTTTCTTAATAATGCTCACAATGTCTTCTGCATACACTGGAAATAAATAATTTAATTATTTGCATTTGATATTGGTAAGCCTTGAGTCACCATAGCCTTCAACCTCCCAGATCTACCCAGGGATTCTCTGCAATGGGATTCCCTGCAATGGGTCCTCAGGTAAAGGGGGAAAGAGACATGATTTACCCCATCACTTTTACAATGTCACCTCTATTGATTGTTGAGGATACACTCTAGTGGCTGTTAATTTTATGTTCCTACACTTATATTCTATCTTCCTAAATTGTCATTTCCTCTAGGAACAATGCTCATTAAAAGCAGGTAATCAAGGTCAACATAGGTCAAGGGATCCCCAGGCTTCTGGTGGCACTGGAGGTGTCTGAGGCAGAGGATGCTATAGGCCAGCAAAGACTGGGTATCTAGTGGATCACTCCCATTGAAATGCTGGCTTGACCCACTGCTGAGGCTTGAAGGGCGAGGTTCCAGAAGTCAGGAAGGCCATTTGTTTCAGATGACAGAGATGACTTCCTGTGAAGGAGCCAGGAAAAGCATATTTGCTCTGGATGGCCTCTTTAGGGCCTTATACTTTTTTTTTTTCTGAAAATGGATTTTTTTTTTTTTATAATGATGGAGCATGTCTATGGAACATGTTTTTTTATGTGGTCACCCAAGATGATCTAGGTTCATGAAACCTCCCAGAAGATGTGTATCTCAGCAGAAAGAATGACACAAAATAACTTAGCCCTTGCATTGAACTGTGTGATTTGTTCTACATTTTTTTTTCTTGGCATACAGGACCTACCTCCTCCTGGGGCCACATCTCTTTCAAGCAAACACAAGGTATATCCATATTTGTTTTCTAGAACTTCAGGAAACAAATTCAGGGCCAAGTGTTCTTCACTCAGAGATGAACTGGCCTCACTCTCATAAGAGCTCCATTTTGCATAGGATATGAAAGCATCAAATTCCTTTTTATCTGAGGAAGAAGAATAATAAAACAATAAAACATAAGCCATTTACACTTTTTACTCCTATCACAGTCCATATACAGATGCTTGAAGCATGCTAAACAGGTAAGTAATAAGATGTGGGATCCTTATAAAATGGATTTTAAAAATAAAAATCAACAGCTGCATCCATTTCAAAATCACACTGGTGAGTAGTATTGATTGCCCACCCCAAATCAAATTCTGATTTATGAAGCACTCATGCATTTTTGCTGGGGTTAGATCAAACAGCTGGGGCCTCCTGTGATTAAATTGTCTGTCCCCTGAAGGGCCTCTGAGCTTTAGTTGCATCTGCATTGTTTCTGTCTTGTCAGTTATACATCAAAGAGGAGTCAGATACTATCAAAGCATGATACTATCCAGGGAGCCAGGCACTGCTACGACCCAGCCCCATGCATCCAATAGGAGAAAGTGTCTCCTTAGGTGGTCACGCATTACAGCCGTGCAATGGTCTCAATAGCACTGAAAAATTCCTATCACCTGGTAATCTCATAGCCATACTATCATAATGCTATGCATTCCTAACGTGTTTGTGGTGATGCTGGTGAAAATAAGCCCACTGGGCTGCCAGACGTATAAAGGAACCACAAAATTATTATGCATGGTATGTAATGCTTGATAATGATAATACATGACTAGGTTGCTGGTTATGTATTTACCGTACTATATTTCCATGGCTGTGTACAATGTACTCCTACTTACATACATACATGTTTATTGTAAAACACGGTCCCATGTTACACCGGCAACAGCTTCAGACAGCTCCTGTTTATCATGTCTCTTGATCATACCATTTCTCTTTTGTGCTTGATTTTATCAGACAGCCTGTAGCCTAGGTGTGCAGTAGGCTATGCCATCTAGATTTATGTAGTATACTCTATGTTGTTTACATAAAGTAAAACCTACCCTATGATGCATTTCTCAGAGTGTATCTCTGTTCTTAAGTGAGTCATGATGTACTTCTATTTGAATCCCTATATGTAAAATGAGGATAAGTTAGGTATGGTGGTTCACGCCTGTAATCCCAGCTACTCGGGAGGTAGAGGTAGGAGGATCATGGTCCAAGGTTGGCTCCGGAAAAAACTTAAGACCCTATCTGAAAAACAAACTAAAAGCAAAAGGACTAGGGGCTTGGCTCAAGTGTTCGAACACATGCATAACAAGTGTGAGGCTCTTAGTCCCAAGTACTATCAAATTTTAAAAAAAGAAAGATAAGGACAATAATAGCTCCTCAGTGGGCTGTCGCAGTTCACAAGAGATAACATACAAAATATGCTTGGTGTCTGGCTTGTATTTAGTCCCCTCCCTTCTAGATGGGAACTCAAGTTTACACAGAACTTGTTTTAGGATATTTTAAAGGACTCATGTGCCTTCTCCCAGTCAGTACTGGGAGAAGCAGAAAAATCTCATAAATTAACTCACATTATTTGGAATGGAACATCCATTCCAGCCCTTTCCACAACTTCTGACAAACAGAATTGTCACAAAATAGCTAGGAGTGAGGCTGTTGGCTACAAAATAGCTGTACACCTGCTCAGTGTGGTAGTAAGAAGTCTCAGTGGACTAAGCGCCAGGAAGAGAGGAGGAAGGTCCAAGCATCAAGACCGGAGGGTGCCAAAGGGAGCTGATTTATGAAGTACCTTGTTGCTTAGACTGGAACGAGGAGACTCAGGGCTGTGGCTGGCAGGTTTGTGCTCACAGTTTGAATATGTAACATCCCACAGTTGCCTTGTGAAATCCCAGCACACTAGGATTTTTCTACTATCTGGAAACTACATTGCTTTGGTAATAAAATTAAAGAATGGGATGTTAGATGGACTCTTAGGTCCTCCATAATTCTAACAATCTATACCTTTCTAAATTAACTTTAGATATTAATTTTAGATATTCATTAGCCTCAAAAGTCATTTTACTGGAAAGTATAAATTGGCCAGCAGAGGGCACTGCACCACTGTCCTTGAAAATCAGCTTCTGCCTGGAGATCTGTTTACCCACTCTTACACACAAGCTCTAGAATCTGAAGGTAAATAGCATTTTAATAAAAGATGCTGAAGGGAAACATTAAGACTTTGACTACATAATTTGCTCTATTCAAAAAAGGCTAATTTTAAAGAAAAATTATTCTCAAAAACATTTTTGGCTTCAGAATTTCTAGAATGTGTTCTAAATAATTTACCTAAAGAAACACATAATTGATGGACTTCTTTTGTTGCTTCGCTTTTAGTTTTTTTGGTTGTGTTTGTTCTGGTTGGTTGGTTCTTTACACAGGGCCTGGTACTTTTCTTACTCAGCTTTTCCTGGGATCTGACACCTTCTTACTGAATTTCTAGTGTGGGAAATCACCAGAGTTTGGATTGGAGGGACTTCCCTCCCCAAAAATAAGCCCTTTATCCCTGAAACTGAGCAGAATAGGGCTTCTGCTTCCTCCAAGCAATAGAATAATTTCTCTAAGACTGCAAATCTTCTAACCTGAGAGTTCCACGACTAACTAGAAAAAAACACAACAACAACAAACCAAATGCAGTTCTTCTAAACAAGCAAACACTAATAAGTATCATTAGCCTGTCTCCTGGGTAAATTGGCAAGATCTTCGTGAGTAGCGATAGTTCTTGTGCTTTGTTGAGCTTCCAAGTTATTGGGATATGTCCACTGTTCTAAAGTTTACAGATGAGGATGATTGAGTTAGTAACTAATGAGCTCTTGTTTCTTTTTTATTTTTTTTTTAATCTTGTTAAAGTGGACTTTTATTTGGTGGACCTGAGGTGAGCTCTGTAAGATTTTACATATTTTTTTTACAATTTTTAACGGGTTTTATTTTTCCGTTTTCATACACGTAGATAGTGTGCTTCAGTTATACAGACCCTCCACTACTCTCTTCTTTTTCTTCCCTCCTCTCTCTGCCCTGCCCAATTGTCTCCCTTACCTAATGAGATCTTTTAAGGCAGAACAACTGGGTCCAAAGACCCTCTGTAATAGGCTTCCAGAGGTTCAGTTTCAAGCGTGACTTCTCTTCAACTTTGGCTTATAAAATGACTGTGATATCTAGAATAGTTAACACACTTAATTGGCATACACTCCAGTCTTCAAGACATAATCATTGCTAACACATACTGAATTTTTCCATGTATTAAGGTGCCTTTCTAAAAGTATGTTTTACATCATGAGATCTTATAGCATCTTTTTTGATTGATGCTATTACAATCCTATTTTATACATAAAAAACTAAGACATTGATATGCTATTTGTCATATTGCCTTAGATTGATTAGCAGAGAGAATATTTCCAAATTTGACAAATATCACAACAGCATCATCTATAAGAATCCTTGTCAATAAAATGAACAAAAAGTGTTTTTTGAGTCTTCTCTGGTATGCAGCCACCAGACCTAGAGGAAGTCACAAACCCTCAGGGGCCTTATTTGTTCATCGGGGATTGCCAATTTCTTGAGCAACTCCTTCCTGCTCTGCCCTGGCTGGCAAGAGGCACGTGAAACTCTTTCCTAAAATAACACCAAGGAACGAAAGCCAATGGGTACTGATGGCATTTTTACTGTCCTGGTCATACTGCAGTCTGTGTCAGTTCTAAGGAGAACATCAGAGGGTGGCATGGGGGTGACCTTACCTCCAGGAGTCTCGTCCTTGCTCTGGTAGGTTCTCCACAGAAGCACTATCTCAATCCAGTGCATGTAGAGAAATGCACCCGCCACCAGTACACCGGCCAGGGTCATGACAGTACCAAGAAGGATGAACAGGAACACCACTGGGGAAGACACGGAAGCCGTGAGCCAGCACAGAGGCAGTATTGCCGTGAGCCTGCCCAACACCTGTTCCTGTTCTATTATCTTATCAAAATCAAAGCCAGTAGCTGCATTTCTCTTGAATCTGTGAACATCTCAAATCAAGTCTGCAGAGAACTATCCACAGTAAATTCTAGAGACCACAAAGAGTTGAGCTGTTCCTGATCAGGTGGCTTGAAATACTGATCACAGACATTTATTTATTCACAAATAAATTTCCACACAGTCCATTTGTGTCTCTTCCATCCCATAATATACATTATTATCCTATATTGTCATCCTCACTATGTCTTAGCTTCCTGACAGCAGGAGTCTTATCAGCTTACTTTTGCACCCTCCACCTTCCTAAAACAAGGGATCTATAAACTTCTGTAGAGAAAAGCCACCATCATGGAGCATCCTCCACAGGCCAGGAATGAACTTTGTCTTCCTTAAGCCTCACAAACATTCATGTTTGTTTGTATTATAGTCTTCTATTAACCAATTGAATGCATGGGTGAATGATATCAGCTTCATCTCTGGGCATCTTCTTAAATAAATTTAAGAGTTAATCCTTACTGGGAATTTCTACTCTAGCTTTTAAAAGGCTACCATTTGTGATATACACATAAAATTCTGTACAGCAAGCAAGATTATTCCTTCCCTTCTCCATACTCCATCCATCAGAACATGAGTCCACCATGCTCTTTAGAAGCCAGGAAGGACAAACAGCCGAGAGAGGTGTCAGCATCCTACCCATTACCCAGGGCCTGCCCTGCCTGCTGGTATTTGCAGAATGAGTGAGGGAGTAACTTTGTGAATGAATGAGGGAGGGAGAAAAGGAGGGAATAAATGAGGGAGGGAGTGAATGAGTGACTGAGTGAGTGAGTGAGTAAGAATGAGGAAGGGAGTGAGAATAAGGGCGGGAGCGAGCGAATGAGTGAGTAAATGAGAGTAAATGAGAGAGTGAATAAAAAATGAATGAGTGCATGAGCAAGACAAGGAGTGAGTGAGCAAGTGAATGAGTGAGTGAATCAGTGAGTGAGTGAGTGAATGAATGAGAGAGTGAGTGAGTAAATGAATGAGTCAGTGAATGAGTGAATGAATGAGTGAGCAGGTAAATGAGTGAGTGAATAAGGAATGAGCAAATCAATGAGTGAGTGAATGACAGGCTTTTTCAGTCATAGAGTCTTAGTTAAGAAGACCTTTGGCCAAGGCATTAAGTGGGTCAAAAAAGTGCTTAAAATGTTCATTGCTGTCATCATTACTATTTTCAGGGAACCCCCTTTCCTCTCAAGAGAAAGCAGTGTATTCTTGGACAACCTTCCAGACTTACCTTCTTTTCTTTCCTTCAGTTGGATGGTCTGAGTCGTGTTGCCAATGGAGTTCTGGGCAAAGCAAACAAACTTTCTGCTAAGATCCCTCTGAGTGACTTCTTTCAAGAAGACAACATGTTCAATGACTTCTTCCTTGAATGTGGATTTAATACTAGGAAAGAAAGGAAAATTCCATACCTACTCAGTACCATAAACTGACAGTCATTGGCAGCACTTGAAACGCTTATAAGTAGCCAAAAGTATGGCTTTCAGAAGAACTGAAATCGATGTCACAGGAAGATAGCAGCAGAATAAAAGATGGACAGAGAAGGCTCATTCTTGATTAAATTGTTGACTCTGCTAGGCATTTGCACTAAGATATCATTTGCTGGTATCCCTCTAAGAATTCCTTCCTGGGAATAGGTTTTAAGAATAACATTAAAATTATTAACTCCTATTGAGCATTTGCTATCTATCAGACACTCTTCTGAGCACTGAATATGGACCCTAGCCCCCTCCAGTCCTCACCACACACAAACCCTACAAAGTATGAACACGAACATTTTAATGTGGAAGTGACATGAGGAGACTCAGGTGATAGATGAGGAGACTCAGGTGATAGATGAGCAGCCCCAGGTCACAAGGCTGGCAAATGGCAGCCTGATTCCTGGATCTATGCCATGATTCCCCATCCAGGAAGTTGTGAGTCTTGGAATTTATTCAAAATTTATATTCTCTAAAAATTGCCAGTCTTCAAACTGTCATCACATTAAGTAATTGTGTTTATGTGATGAAATTTGAGGTTGTGCTGTTGTGAGCCTATAATACCAGTTCTTATTAACTGAATGCTTTCTGCCAGCCACAGACTATGATAAGAATGACGCATCTCCTGTATACACCCCTTACAGTGACCTTGGAAAATGGAGGTCATTATCCACAGATTACAGGTGGGATGATGGAGGCTCACAGGAGTTAAGGGTCACATTGTCACTAGATGGAAAACAGATTCAAACCTGAGGGTAGGTGACGGCTGAGCAAGCTCTCCTTGACACCACTACACCTCTTTGAACTTAATGCAATGTCAGGTTAAGGTGAGTTACAATGACTTTCCTGACCTTAGAAATTCTTGCTAGATGTTATTGTTCTGACCAAAGTCTGTTCTCTACTTTTTGTGATGATACATACTTTTCAAAGTGATATTACATTTATTCATTGAAATTTCTAAAAAATAGAAGAAGGCATGTCATGCATAGATTCTTACTTTGGGCCAGATCTTGAACAAATGAAGGGTCATATCCTTCAGTGATGTGTCTGATTGGACATGATTGGACACCAGCCCTTTAACCCTTCTGGGAACTGAAGACCAGCTTTTCTGGGCATTGGTTGGCTCTGAATGTCTAGAGTTTTCCTTTCTGATGTCCAAACTCTCTCACTGGTAAATTCTGTCCAGTGAGCTGGTGTTTGTACTATGCAGAACAATAAACAAAGTCTAATTTCTGCTAAAATGCAGTAGCTCCCAAGTATTTCAAGACAGTTGTCCCAACTCTGAGGCTCCTCTCCAGGTTAAATTGCTTCAGCTATTCTCCGCACATATTTGCTGTCAGACTCTGTATCATGGCACCATTTCATCTGGGTCCTTTGCAGTTCATTAATGATTCTGCAGTCTTGGACCCCTGAACTCACAACACAAGGAGTGGATGGCACTGGTAAAAACAAAGTGTTGGGGTGGGGACCAGCCTCTCTCATTTGTTGGTTGTACTTCTATTCAAGCAGCCTGAGTCAGTATGTCTGTCTGCTAGAAAGTTTGATTCTTAAAGCGACCACATCAAACTGCAAACTGTTACTAGACATTGAGCTTTAAAATCACGTTAGGGGCTGTGGGTGTAGCTCAGCTTGTACTTAAAACAAATTAAGATGGCTCTGATGTCACAGGTGACCAGGTACAATACATGGGAATGGAATCAAAATGTTTTTATGCATGGCTGGTTCATTGTATGCCCTCATCAGAAACTGTGTGGCCCTCAAGCTTAAAATTAACACAAACATTGCATTTCTGTATTCTTATTTTCATCACTACTTGGTGCTAGTGGCTACCCACTAACCAACTGTGTGTGGATTTTAGTCATTTCTAAAGGTGATTTGCAAGGAGTAAAGTTCACTAGTGTTTTCTTACCTTTTTTCCTCAGATATTAGGACTTCCCACTCCTGGGAAGACTCTTCGACATACCACCTTATCACAGGTTGAAAGTCCCTTTGGAAGCCAAATCGTACTTTGCAGTGAAGAGTTAAAGGCTTTCCTGAAAATTAAGAAGTCAGAGAAAACAGGAAGGAAGTGGGTAAGAACACTGTCAGGTGCCGGAAGAAAGATGTGGCCCGAGAAAGGATAGTGGTGAAGCCTGGTGTACAGGTGAGACAGGGGTGCCAGAAATGGCCAAATGTCAATACGTCTTATCCAGAAATGCATAAAACTCAGTGTGTCTGTACCTCTTAGGAAATTCTTATATCTTAAACACATTCTTAGCATGAAGATTAGCAAGATGCTATCACTAAGGATCCTGGTGTGGTTTGAAGGCGACGCCAGTAGAATAGGGGTTTTAGTGATATATCCAGTCTTCCTTGTACTTAACTGCTGTTAAAGTACAAGGTACAAAAAAAAAACCTTTTTTAAACAAAAGATTACTTGAAGGGCAAGGTGTGGCATCTCACACCTGTAATCCCAGCTACCGTGGAGGTGGAAACAGGAGGTCATCATCATCTGAAGCCTGCTTGAGCAAAGTTAGCATGAGACCCTGTCTGAAAAACAAACTAAAAGAACAAAAGTTGGCTCAAGCCTGTAATCCCAACTACTTGGAAGGTGGAGATGGAGAGGATCACTGTTGGAGGCCAGCCCAGGCAAAATGTTACTGAGACCTTATCTCAGAAAAAAGAAAAAAAAAAAGTAAAGAATGGCACATGCCTGTGATTCCAGGTACATGGGAGGCTGAGGTAGGAGGACTGCAGTCTGAGGCAGGCCCCAGGAAAAAAGCATGAGACCCTATCTGAAAAATAACTAAAGCACAAAGGGCTGGAGGTGTACAGCACTGAATTCAAACCCTAGTACCACCACTATTTGTATATTAAAGGAACATAATTAGGCTACCATAACACTTAGATATTATTTAGAGATTAGATATTTAGAAATTACTTAGACACTCAGCTATTTTCCTGAACAATCACTATGAGTGGACAAGCATGTTCCTGGACTCTCCTCTACCTACCACCTCCACAAGGAATATCCAAATATCCATACATGCTCTGCCTCAAACTTAGAATTAAACCCTGAAATGGCAAGGAAATGGCCATTTGAAACTCATCTTTTCCTTAATGTTTCCCACCACTAATACTTTAAGCTTCACTACACCATATGGAATCTGACAATGTATCTAGGATTAACTTTTTTCTCCCTTCTTTGTTCCTTCCACTCATGTGATTCCCATATTGCCATTACTAGTTCTGTCCTCAGGCTACACCACTACTGCCACCTGGCGACCTCATGTAATAATGTATCTTTTCGCATTTCTTTCTATAATAACTCTTTTATTAGCATTTAAGAAGGCACATATTTTACTGGACAAACCACCATCTGGTTTTAAATACAGCATTTTTTTATTTGACTGCATATGAAGTCACAAATGTTGATGAACTTGACAAGATGAAAGGAGATCATAAGGAAGTCAATTTCCATTCTCCCCCAAAAGAGGACACTGTTTTGTAATATATTTGAGCAGGGGTTGTAGTATATAATTCTCTTAAAAATAAGACCAAGAACTATATTCATAAGGGCTAATGCTACTTAAGTTAGTAAACTTGCAGATGTATCAATGGACCTAAGCAATGTATACAACCACCGCTTCCCGGGAATAATATAAAACCTATGGGTCATGTCCAAACTCCAGCCACTCATCACACACTGCTCCACTTTTTCTCAGTGCCATCCTGTAAAGTCAGTTTTATGATTATGATTTGCATATCTAAGGACTGAGGCTCAGAAGAATGAAGTAACTTGCCAGGTCACAGAATAAAACAGGGTCCAGTCAGGATTCACACCCAGTTCTATTTTACTTTCCTTATATCACACTTAGACCTGCACAATGAGGCCCAGGGGTGCTGACATGGCCAACTTACCAAGTTCTACTTCCATTGTGTCCTCGATGGGCTCCAGAATGTCTGGTTTGAACTTAGTGTCTTCAACTAAAAGATGAAAACACAAATTGTTACTTGCACTGAGAAATCTGAAGTCCTGATTGCTGAAGATTTGGGGTGTTAGCTCAACACATTGATCTAAATGTTTTTGGTGCTCCCTCTCACTGTTTCCATGTGAAAAGCTTGCCACTGAGGGACTGGGACATCAGTCCCAGGTTGTGGCTGCTAGCAAAACAGTAGTCCTTCATTAATTTTTATCTGCCTGGATGCATTGTCTTCTACAGCAATCTGCTCACTGTGCAGAATTGAGCCCCTCTGTGCTTTCTACTCCAAAATTTCTTTTTGGTGCCATCTGGCTGAGTAGAAGGCAAGGCAGAACCCACCTGAGAATCTGCACGAGCATGAATCTACCCTGCCATGCTTAACCTCATGACTTGTTTCAAAAAGGAGAGTTCAGCCTTCAGTTATTTTATCCTTCACCTTCTGGCCACAAACTTTCATATATGCCTCCACTGTCAAGCTTCCTCCCCAAGCGTTCTAGTTCCTAGGAAAAGTCATGGTCTTTGCTCTCAAAGTCATCTATCTTACTTCTCACAGACTTCCTCATTTACACCACATTACTCTCTTATCTTTAATTTTAATATTTTTCTCTATATATCCTCATCAATATTTATGCATGTCCAGTCTCTCTATCTTAAAAAAAATGAAAAAAAATCCCGCCCTTTTGTCTTGCCTCTTTGTATCTTACACTTTACATCAGCCATATTTTGTTTTTTGCAGAACTGCCCATGGAACAATGCCCCTAGTTTGTTTTACTTCCAGTTTTTTTTCCAGATAGGTTCTTGTGCTTTTTGATCAGGCCAACCTTGTACAGTTATGCTTTACCACCTGAGGGCTGAACTTCCTAAGCAGTGGGGATTACAGGTGTGCCTGGTTCATTGAAAGAGTTTTATGTACTTATTTTCCCAGATCCCCAACACTCCTGTAGAGTCTGATTTCTTCACTCATCACTATACTAGACTGCTTTGCCCAAAGTCACCAGTAGTGTTCTTCAAAAACAAACAAAAAAACAAAACCCCCCAACCAAACCAGAAAAGTCTTCCAAACTTTATTAGAACAGTTAGAACAGTGAGAGATCCCTCCTGTTTCCAGACTCCTCCCCTCATCTTCCTTGTCTTCCCAGGCTGCACTGTGTTTTCTTTTACCTACTTGACATCAGCTTCTCCCTCTGCCTGCAGTGGCATCTTTTCTACTTTGGGGTGTTCATTCTTGCGCATCCCTCAGGTTTCACTCAGGCTTGGTTTACCCAGGTTTGGGTCTGGTGGGCCTCCCACATGCCCACTGCTCCTCTTTCTCTTGTTACATCATATTGTGATCTCCTGATTCCTATCTGCCCAATAATATGGTAAGTTCTCAGAAGCCAGAGAAAATATCCAGATGCTCATTTTTACATGCCTAGCTATAAGTCTGACCCATATCAGAAGTTCAATAAATATTTGTATGGGAACAAATTAATGTTAGGAGAATTAACAGACTTTGCAAGATGTCCATTAAGAAAGAGAAAAGTACATTCTGTCACCAAGAATTTGGGCGACTGAGGGATGCGTGAATAAAAAAGAACACTTACACACCACTTGAAGAGAAAGAGGTGCAGATATTCTAACATCTGTTCTCAGGAGCAATCCCATACAAAATTATATGGCTGAGATCTGCAGTAGTACAAGGCTGTGTTTAACTTGGTCCTAGACCTCTCCACATGCCTTGTATCTTGCCACAGAAAAAGAACTAAAACTGATTAAATTTTTCATTAAGAGTGGAATCAACCACTCTGTAGCCCTTTAATACAAAGCACGAGTGACAGTTTTGTTATGTTGTGTCCCCGTAAGCCACGCTTAAATTAATTACATCTTACCATTCATTTGTGGTGACAGTTGTAGATCTAGTAAGAATGATGCAAGGCCAAAGTTGGGGAAAAAACACACAAGCTACAGAAGAAGCAATCTAATAGAGCAATAAACATGAATGAGGCATTTAACTTCATTGTTAGGCAAGTGCAAATGAGGAGGAGGAGGAGAAAAGAAGAAGAGGGGGAAGAGGAGGAGGAGAAAGAAGGAGAAGAAAAGAAAAACTCACTTTGACACCAATCAAAAAGTCTGATAACACCCAAGATTATTTGGCAACAGTAGGACTGTGTTCATTGCTGATGGGAGTGTAAATTGGCTGCATTTTCCCTCAGTGTGCTACTATGTGTTTATGACACAAAGCAATGTTCTACTTTATCAATGGATGAATATGTATGTAAAAAAGCATAAAGGCACAAATGCAAAAGATATACAATGCAATATTGTGACTACACTGGGGCAGGAAGGGCATGGAAGGGATGGGAATGTGGACCTCAAACTTACCTGAAATGCTTTATTTCTTTTTAAAAAACAAGATTTTAAGCATGTGCAAAAACACACACATGGTACACTAGTGATACGTACACAAATGTTACTTAATATTTCTGCATGTAAAATATTTAATATACTTAAAAGTTGTTGCAAAAGCAAACGAGGGAGAAATGTAAATGGACAACTCGACTTGTGACGGCATGAACATGGAGCAGAACTGAGCCTGCCTTGGTAGATGGGTATGTGTGGATGAGAGCATTGACACTCACCCACATTCAAGGCTTTAATGATTATAAGTGTATGACTATCACTTTTTTCCCTAAAAGGAAACAAAATACTAAGCCAAAAGAAGATGATTTTAATTGATCAATTAGAGTTTAGATAAATCCTGAGACAAAAATATCACTTACCAATGGTTTTCACTTGGACAACAGCTCTGATTGTCCAAGAACTCACATTATCCAACTGCGTGTAATCACACACATACGTGCCCTCGTGATAGTCAAAAATTTCTTTTATTTCAATTCGATGGTTTTTTTCCTCAAAGAGGAGATTTCCATTCTAATCCAAAAGATAGAAAATTAAATATTATTCTTTAACTACAGATTATTTTATACTAATTACACCTAGGAGAAAGTTCACAATGTGATCCTGGGAGGAGGGCAGTCAGTTTGAGATCAAGGGATCCTACAAGCTATGAAGGCATGGTGTTCAATACTGTATTTTTCCTACAAGAAACAAGAGGCACTTCCCAATACAAGTGCCTTATGTGTTGAGATGAGGAAGCCAAATTTTATGTGCCCAAAAAGTGCTATTAACCTGGTCTTTCCCAAAGTCTGATTCAGGCTCCTGGGATTATTCTAGAAAACTCATTAGTGTTCTAAGAAATAATACCTAAATAAATTTTTTAAAAGTGCATGTGTGTGTGTATGCATATATATATATTACATATAACATGTTCCAGAAAATTTTTATATATTTTTCTGTGAGTGAGGGCACTATATATAATATATTCCTTCAATAAATGTAGCTCTAATAAGAGAATAAAATTTAATTAAAGATATTAAATAAATAAGCAGATGTATATAAAAATTATAAAGAATGACTGAACACTGAGAAATACTTATCTGACTCTTAGTGAACCCAAAATCAAGTATAAACTAAAATAAAATTATATCTGACTCACCCTTACTTGGAATCTTTAAGATAAAATCTGAAATTCTTCATGGTCCCATCTGGTTTCCTTTCCTACAGGTGCCCTTTACCCAATGAACCTTCCCTGAAGAACCATGCTCTTTCTGGAGCTTTGCATTTTCATGTGTCTCCCATCACTTTTTCTTACTGCCGAGGCTGTAGTAGCTCATCTCCAGCACCAGCTCAAGAGGCAGCTCCTGGGAGTGAGGTCACCATGTGCCCCCCAGAATCACCCACTTCGTGTTCCCAGCACACTGGGCAGGAATGCCATTACTGTGCAGTAGTATTTGTAGTAGTATGCGATTAGGTATATCCTTGTCTGTAGTTGTTGAAAGCAGCCTTTGTGCCTAGACATCTAGCTGGTCTTGGACACACTGAGAAGAATAAAAATGGGTCTCTTCTCTCAGCAAGCTCTAGTCTAAGACTCCAGGTGCTAAGTCTTAAGCCATGCCTTGGGAGCCACTGGGGCATCCCTAGCTCAGCTCACACATGAGTCTGGCAGAGCCTTGAAGAATACATTCCAATACATAGGAATCAGTCAGTTGAAGGTAAGTGTCATTTTGGGAACATTTGGGGCAAAGCGTGGATATGGGAAATAAGACAAAGATGAAAGAACTGAAGAACTATGAATGTAGACATGTTTGTTCTTTGTTTCTCTATGATGTAGCAAGAGGGGCACCAACTGTAAGCTCATTGTAATGGATGTGTGAATAAATACATGGAAAATTGAAAGAAGACCTTTTCAGAAAATGACCGACAGCTAGATAAGGAAGCTCTTGGAAATTTAACAATATCTGTGGAATAATTGAGTATCACTGAGCCAATAATCCCAAAGCCCTAACTTCCTGTATAGTGTTTATGTGACACATGGCCTTCAGGTGTCTAACTGAGAGTATCAGGAGTATATCTATTACAATTGTAGTGGAGAGAAAAGAGATAAACAAGACAAACAATGCGATGATAAGAATCTGTTATCTTTACAGATTACAAATTTTTTTTCTCATGTATTACAGCATACATCTGTCAGAGAATTCTTTGACTTGGCTTGCCTAGATTCTATTTCTTAAATCTTATAAATAAGAAAGCAGAGATTCTGGAGTTTAGGTAGAAGCTAGTAAGAAAGTCTATTAATGAGAGAACTGAGAATCAACCAAAACTTTTCTGACATTGAGTTTCATGTTCTGATTGAGAAGTTTCCCTTCCACTGTCTGCTGACTGGTAGAGGTAGGGATTCCCCTACTCCAAGTGTCTGCTATGGTTCCTCTGTTGCAAGGAACAATTTCCAGTAGGCAGTAGCTTGGCAGAAATCCAAATGTAGGACCAGACTGGTCAGAGAAGGCAGCTACAGACAGGGAAAAAACAAGGGCAAGAGGTAGGGGCAGACAAAGTTAAGAATTTATCAGGTGATCTCAACGATAAAGAACACTTCAAAAAAAGTATTAAGAGCATGAGGGTATTCAGAGCTCAAACTTTAGAGAATACAGCAACAACATACAAATGACAGAATTTAAGGTACAGGGGTATAGCAAATCACATCACACAGCAATGGAAAGGGTTGCAGAGTTGCCACTTCAACTGAGCTACCCTGGAGGATAGGTAATGACAAAGTGGACTTGGTTTCTATCTTATGAAAAGGTAAGTATGACTTAGTGTGTGCCCTTAGACTTTGTGAGCTAGAACGCAGAGGAAATATCAAAGAAAAGAAATTAGGAAAAATAAAATTATGCCAAGGATGATGGAAAACTCACCAAATACTACTCTCACGGGTGATCCTGATAAGAAGGACAGAGGCTTAGGTAACTGCATAGGAAACTGTTTTGCTCAGATGTGAAACAGTCATGAATAAAGCACAAAAGGAGGAGCATCCTTTGTGTGAATCTGTATGAACATTGTACGTCTGTACGAACATTGTACCCTGAAAACACTAGACAGGACATTTAAAGTCACACATGAATGAAGGAGAAGAAACAGCTATTCTTACTAGTAGGAACAGTTACTGTAATTTTGTAGTTTTTTATCATTAAGCTGCAGTGCCAGGAAGGTACCACGCACATTGCATTGTGCTTTAGGAGTGGTGCAACCAGTGGTTGGAACTGGGCAACCAGTAGTTTTCCTACCCAGACTTCTACCTAACTTGGGAGGACTTCCAGGATCTACATTTCTATATGTTTTCCAGGATGGACTTCACTCTTCATGCCTATTCTAATGTTCTCCACCACAGACACATTGTGTCCTGATCTGTACACATCACTTCTCTGCCCTTCTAATTGAATTGACTTCTACTTTCTCCAACTTGATAAATACCATGAATACATTTTGAGCTGGAAAGACCCAAAATATTACAGTCATCTCTTAAACTGCTTTCCAGTCAAAGCATTTAATCTTTTCTTTTATTCCATGAACCTATCATTAGTATATGTCACCTTCTTTCTGTGCCTGCTGCTAGTTCTGGGGATCAGGACTCACATTTCCAAAGTTCAAATATACCAACAGGGTTCCCTTTTACCATACCACATGAGCAACCCACAGCCTTTATTTCCAGTCTAATCCTAATTGCTCCACTTAAGAATTCTGCCCCCACCATACTGAACTGCTCACCATTCATGGAGCATACTCTCTGGTTTCGTTTCTGATATCTATGCTGTTCTTTCTTGCAAAGTGTAGCTGCACAGTCTCTTGCTCAAATTGTCTTACAACATTATACTTCACAAGTTCTTAACTAATATTAAGTGAATATTAGTGGAAAATGTCAAATTATGGAAATCATTGATGATTGAACTATGTCAAACCTTAGCCAAAGTCTTGGGTGTGTTATTAAACAGTTGGTTTATGAACACTTAGATGAGGAAGTAATGGGTAATATCAGTCAGCTTGCATTTTATAACAATCATTTCAGTCTTCTCACTTTCCTCCATAATTGAACTGTTAGACCAGAGAAATATAGCAGGCACAATGAATCTTCATTGTAGAAGGTAATTTGCAAAATACTTCCATGATTTTCCTGTTATAAAAAGTATTTGTGGACTGAATGACAGGACATTTGGGTGCCTTTTTAGTTAATCAAGCAGCAATGCCTCCCAAGTAGTGGGTTAATGGATCATTAAAGGATAACGCTGGTGTCAGCAGCTGAGAATGTGTCCTTGGTGCTGTTTTGTTCAGTATTTTTACTAGGGGTTTACATGATCACATATCATGCATGTTTATCTCATTTATGAGCCTCACCAATCTGAGAATGATAACTGATATTTTGGATTTTAAAACCAGACTCCAATGTATTGATTCATGAATTTAATTTTTATTAAAGACAACAAATTAGAACTTAATGGAAATGAATTAAGAAAGCATGAACACTTGTTATAAGTTTATAACTTATAACACTCTTTGAGTGCAAAATTGAGAATGCCCATAGGGCTACCTGAATGCAGTTTACATAAAAAAGACCTGCTTGCCAACTTAGAATGATTCAGCCATGTAATGGAGCTATCCCCAATCTAACACAATTGTAGGTAGCATCAATATTCTGTTCCTCCACTTTCAACATTGGTTAGGTAGTAAGTAAATTATTGCATGAAGCAGGTATCAGGAAGCTGTTTAAGAGTGGGAAATGTTTATCATGAGAATAATCAAATGGGCCAATGTTATCAACCTTGAAAATGGTTTGCAAAATTATAATCTAAATTATCTTTATTTTCTTTTCTATTTATAAACACTTTAACCTTTGGGTCTAGCCAGTCTCAGCTCACCAGTTCTCCATGGCACTACCTCTCAGAGTGTCAACAGATATCAATTACTATGAGAACTAAACCAAAAGGAAATGAGAACGAGAAGTGGCAGATCTGTGCACAAAACTTCCATGGAACACATGGCTCGGAAATGACCTGACAAACACGTCAGCACTGTGCACCAAACAAATGTGGCATATGAGTAGGATTATCTTAAACCAGCAATAGAGATACTGTTCAGTGCACAGAGTCTACTGACGGAAGGCCACAGCACTGTCCAAAGCCCGGATCTTGATGCACTAGACTCTCTCACTGCCTTTTGTTATAATTTTGCATTGTGTCAAAGATTTGCTTAGCTGAAGATTATAAAAATGTTGTTACCAAATGTGATTGTCACTTATTTAAAGAGTCTGATTTTGCCAAAGGTATTTTTTTATTATTTTCTAGAAATTAGGAAAACAAAAAGAAAATGTTCTTAGAATAAAGAGCAGGTATGTTACTTTAATTTTGACTACAGTCATTCAGTACTTGAGAATGTCCAAGCACAGCAACCTGGCCAGGCCCCAGTGATCTCCTTTAGTCTTCTGTAAGCCAGGAGTTACCTAGCAGGTTGGTAGATGATTGTGAAGGGAATATCTGGCCCTG